TTGCCGTCAATTTTCTGCTATTGAAGTCTGTCATCAGATTTGATTGATAGAACACAAATCAAATGCAGATAGATATCTATAGATCTGTCAAAATATATCCTGCTCGAATCTCATTAATTTGTCGGAAAACTGTTAATAATTAAGTTATACTGGATATAAAATATATTTTATCTTTTAAATACTATTTTGTATTATATATTAGCAAATAACAAGCATTATTTTTTAATAGATCCTTGCGACCTTGAGCTTTTTGGCTTTAGGATTTTATCAACGTCGCATCGGGCAAAATTTTTTAACTTGCATGTGCCAAGCATCAATATCTCCAGCAATGTCATGTTGTTGTGTAGGCACTTAATAAAATAATGAGACAATGGATTAAATTTCCACAACTGCATCATGATCTTCAACACGTTAAAGAGTAGTAGGTTAGTTAATATTATATATGAACATAATATTTAAAAATAAAAATAAATTGGTATCACTATTATTTCTTCAGATTTTGAATCCACTGTAGATTCCAGGTGTAATTGGTGATGTTGATGGAACTCACGTCGCTATTTGTCCTTCAGAAAAAGAACGAGAACATTTATATATTAACAGAAAGTTATACTATTCATTAAATATTTTGATAGTAAGTATAATAAATTAAGCAATAAATTATTATTATATATATATATATAGTAATAATAACTAAATTATTATTTTACTATTATACTTATGATTATCATATTAATGTGCTTAAATGTTTGTATTTTAAGGTTTCTCTATTATGGAAAAATATTAATTGTAAATAGTGGACATGGGGGAAGAACGCATGATGCACACATCTAGAACACTTCAATTGTCTCAGTATATTTGGAACAGCAATATAATAATGAACGAAGAAATTATTGGTTGTTAGGCATGTTACTCATATTGTTTATTTATTTTAAAAATATTTATTTTGTAATATATACATATACATTTTATAATTAATGAAAATATTATATAAATATATTTATATACACACATATGAAAAGCTTATCGTATGATAGGAGACTCAGCACACCTTTTATTACCTTATTTAATGACCAAAATTGTGCCAACCTAAAGGATTACTTTCTTTTCGTTACACCAATGCTCACGTAAAAGCACTCTCAAGTATAGAGCAAACTATCGGAGTTTGGAAGGGATGATGGAGATGCCTAAGGAAGGAAAGAGGATGCATTATTCATCAGAATTTTCTGGTAAGAATTATATAATTATATTTATTTGTAAATATTCGAAAATGTATGCATAATGCATGTATGATTATGTATAAATTCATATATTCAAAGATTTAAGAATAGATATAATTTTAGTACTTATTGCCAATGCTTGTTGCGTTCTTCACAATGTGGCTAAATTCTACAATGTACCTGAAGTATATTAATTATGATGACTTGGACTTAGCAAAAAACTCGTAAACTAGTAAACTTAGATAAAGAAACGGCTGCTACCTAGTGAAAATTGTAACTTTTTTTTCAAAAGTCGCATAAAATTTTAATTTATATATATTTAAAAAAATTTTTTAAGTTCATTTAGGATGATAAACTATACAAATTTTGGGGGGGGGGAGTGCTATAAAAAATTCTAAAGTTGAAAATAAGAGCCACTTTATATATAGGTATATATGTATATAAGGTAACTACACTCAAAGGATGGAAAATCGGGATGGAGATTACGAAATAAAGTACAGCAATTATTTAAGAAAGGTAATTCACATACAACTGTTTATTGAGACATGTAGAATACATCTGGTCATACACAAAAATCTTTGACACTTTAAATCAAGCTCCTAGCCCGAAAAAAGGAACCATGTTATAACATTCGTCTTTAAGTTCATTATTAATCATTATGTTTAACTACGTTTTACACTAAAATTAGGGGCAACTTGGAGAAATAAAAATTGCGGGAATTAAAAAGCGAACGATTGCTAGAGGAGGTGAATAATTACAGAATCCGATAAAAAACACAAAATACAATTAGCAATGATATGAATTTGGCAAAATTTGATAAAAAGTTTACATCTGTTTACAGCCGCGGAGCTGACATGTAGCGCAAAAAAGTAATAACATATATATATGTATATATATATATCTTTTTTTCTTTCCTTTTTGGGGATTTGGAGGCGATGTTTGCTTATTGAATCTTTCGTTTATTATACGATTTCCTTCTTTCTCGTTAATTAGTGCTAAATAACATCACGTCACAAAAATGCATATTCGTAGGAATATAATATATAATATATTTATATATATAATTAAAAAAACACGTGGTTCTTGGGCCACTTTGAACTAACGTTCGCAACATTTCGGCCCATGGATCACACAATATCCGCCTGACACGTGAGAGGTGGCTAATCACGATATAAACCCCGAATGATGTAAATGATTTTCTCAAAGAAAGGACATGATGTGCTGCGAATATTCTCATCATTATTTAATCGGGGCATTGGCCGGGCAAAAAAAAGAAAAGCGCGCAGGCGCGCGGCTACGGCATCGCCAGCCACAGTGTGTGTGTATGTGTGGTGCATTATCCTAAAATGCAACCGATAACCACCCCAGGCACCCCAGCTGCCACACCGATTATCAGAGTACAAAAGAGGAATAGGGAAATCAGGGAGAGACAGAGCGGAAACGAGATAGGAAGGATAGGAAGAGGGTAGAAAGATGAGAGTAAAAATGGGAAAGGAATACGATAGTGATACTTTTGGGGCGCCTTTTTAACCGGGGCGGAGCCGGTGGTATTATCGATAAACGCTAGTACCTAGATCAGTCTAAGAATCTCGTCACCGTGAACTGTCTCCGCTTTAGCCAAGTTATGCTTCCTTGCCCCCGCAAGCCGAACTCTCTCTTTAATCGTATCTCTGCATCTATGCATGTGTGTGTGTGTATACATGTGTAATATATATAACATATCCTCTTGCTTTTTTCATTATCTTTTTTTGCCTTTATTCCTTTATCATACTCTTATTATTTCCTTTTATTAATTACATTTTTTGCACGGAAAAAACCAGAATTTTTTCTTTTATATTGGAATATTATCATGTGTCACAAAAACCCACTCAATTATGATTAGCAATATCATCCTTATCATATTGTTAATATTAATATTATTATATCCTCGATATTATGCTTTTATAAATAGGATGTGTAGGTAAGAGTAGGTAGATAGATATAAAATATGGTAGGCGAATAATCAGGGATAGTGGAAAAGGGAGAAGGGGACACGAAAGGAATGAAAAATAGATAGATAGCGAATGCAAACCGTGATTTCGCAATTCACTCGAATTTTCCTTTCCTTTTCTTTGTTTTAGTTTTTAGAAACAATGATCGCAATTACTGGGGACAAAGACATGTGTATAAGGGGAATTTTTCCTTTCGTCTAATCGCGTGTTATTACTAGATGTGGTTAATTCATCGTTATCAGTAAAACAGTATCGATGACGAAGAAGAATTAGACTTAAGTAAAAACATGAATAAAAATTAACAAAATGCTCGTAAAACACGAGATCGGGCGAATAATCTATCGTCATTCAAACATTTCGTCCATTGGTGCGTCTATCGTTTCGCATTTTTCACATTGTGTGTGTGTGTGTGTGTGTGTGTGTGTGTGTGTGTGTGTGTGTGTGTGTGTGTGTGTGTATGTGTACGCGTGAGAAAAGAAGGAGTGCAATGTGAATCTATAAAATTATACACGGTAATATCATATTATGATAGGATGTATATGCGATCTTTTGTATATCTGGTTGGTCAATCTGTGGTATACTCGTTCAGTGTTAAACACTCAATATCTTATTACATATATCATCCGTCAATCCTATTATTGTACCAAATCCAATCCGAGAGGCTAACATATATAACCATTATTATATGTTAAGTGTCATACGTATCCATGTGCATGCGAGCGTACGTATGCGTGCATGTATACGTATATGCGCGTGTATATGTATGTAGTAATGGAATTAGTGTAGTGTGCGCGCGCATGCGTAGGTATATGAACGGGTAAGTGTGTACATGTGTGTATATGTATGTGTGTAGTTGTGTCGTCTCATTTGGTATGTTATAACAAACAGAAGTCTGATATGCTATTCCGTTATTACAATATCCGTTTTCTCTTTTTTTTTTATTTTTATACCGTATTTGTCTTCATATTCCGGGGGTGCGTGTAAAATACAAATGATTTGCATGTTTTCTTTTTTTTCTCCCCTTTTTCAAATAATCATCCAGAACAGGGGGTGTCTGGGCTCCAGGGACAGGGACCAACTACAGCCCGCACTTACAACTCTTACTAATTAACTAACAGACTAACAATAACAACAAGTCAACACTCAAAATGTGTGCTGTATGTGTTTCATGCATTTGTAAACATTACATTCTACTTCAATCTGTGACTATCATTATCAAATTCATAGTCAGTCATCTTTAAAAACTTCTCTTTCTTTCTTTCTTTTTGTAAAAGAATACAAGAAACAAATTTACTTTTTACATAAAATTTAGAAGAAACAATACACTCTTTTTTATTTCCCTTTCAAAGGGCATAGATTCACTTTAGATATTTGTTTTCAACGATCGATTTTTTTTAAATATAAAAAAGAAACACATTAACAAATAAATATATTATAATTTAGATCCGAGTTTGCTTGGATACTGTCATTGAAAAATTTACTGTACAAGTGGGTTTTCTCTCGATTGTGAGCAATACTCTTTTTTTCCATTTTCCTTTTTCTTATCCAATAGAACCCTGGCATGACTGTAACCAAAACCTAATTTAGGAGACATTCGCAGAACCGTTGCAACTCGTTTCATACTCTCTACTTTCACAAAACTTTGCCTGTGTGACTCTTAATAATAATAGTTTCACTGTACACATTTATAGACCAACAATAGAAGGTCTTGTGGCACGCTTGGCGCGCTCCACGCACAAATACACACACACAGACACATTCCGTCTAAAAACAATTTCTCTCTCTCTTCCTCTCTCTCTCTTTCTTTCTCTCTTTCTTTCTCTCTCTCACACACATTTACTAAATATCGCATTCTCGCCCTGCGCCTTCTGCTTGTCTACACGACCACTACATTTTCTATCTCTTCAAAGTTGAACTTCCGTCTTTTCAATTTCTATCTTTCGTTTATAACTTCTCCGTTTTTCTCCCTCATGCTATTTATTTCGTCCTATCTAACACACATGCTTCGTCACATAGATTCAAAACATCTAGTCATCGCGTAATAAACCGCAGGCTTCCATGAGTTCTCTTAACTAATACAAGCCATCACAATCCCTATGTCAACATCGCTGATCTTCATCACTTGGCAGTAAACAATGTGACAATGCAGTAGTGGTACTTAGATTAGTATTAGTATCATAATAATAATAATAGTACGGGGTGGGTGGGTGGTCACACTCCGATATAATAATTAGTCTCAGTGGCACATCACTGTACATAATCACAATAACAGTGGGCGATGGTGGTGGCGCAGAATATAGTTGCTGCGTATCATTAATATGAAAAAACATTTACAATTATTTGAATTCGATTAAGAGCGATAATAATACAAATGGATGATTTCTTTCCTTCCCTTCATCTCGAGTTCCCCCTCCCCCCCCTCTCTCTCTACGTGTTTCGTCAGTCTGATTTTATTTTAATTTTTTCCCTTATATTTTATGTTTTTTGTTTCTCACTTCGTTTATCATGCATTTGTTCGTGCATATTTTTTTATCACTCACAGGATTGCAGAAGTTAGCTCCACGACTGGTAAGAGTCTTGATACCATTCGTGATCGTCGCCGGAAACACCGCCGAGTGTGCCGGCTCTACCTCCGAAAGCTATGTCACCGCCACCACCACCACTGCCACCATTTACACTCGCCAATCCATATGCATTGCCCAGTGGTTGTTGGGCAAGGGGCTGGTTTCCCCAATTGCTCTGGAAGCGACGCTTAGATTCCCCCTGGTTCTGGTGACCCCCGTCAAATTTTCGTTTACCTGCTGTAAGATATTAAGATGATAAGATCGATAATTATGTGAAAGAAAATCTAAAGCATTAATATTAAATTAAGAAGCACTCCTTTTTACCATTGTACATGACGCTTGTAAAATGTTACATAAAGGAAGATGAAGAAAATTTCGAGAGTTCTTGTGTTAATACATGTGATGTGTTCGTAAAATGTCAATATATACGGACATACTGTGATAATCGCATGAAGTAGTAAAATTAATCTATTAATTCTATTGACTTTACAAAATTGCAAGAATTATAAGTCTTTCAATTAATATGTGATATAAGCATAAAGAGATTCACTAACCTACAGTTTTATTATTATCAAATGGATGGGACTTGGATACCTTGGTGAGAAGGATTGGATGGTTTACTGTAAGATGAATATTACATGAACAATTCATGACATGCATGCGATTATTTGGCAAACTAACTATTATGTATGCACTTTAAAAATCTCAAATGACTAAAAATATCTGTCATTAGCAAATTTGTAAAAACAAAATTGTAACTAAATATCTCCTCAAATAAAATAATTACAAGTATAAGTTTGTTATATAAATAAAAGATTATTCTAGATTCAATATACAAATTGTCTTTTCAAAATAATTAATTGTACCTAATGGTTGTATATGCATTTTGGAAGTGAGGAGATAAACGTTATATAAACATGTCAACGTTACATATATTTCAACATCAGAATATGTTTTTGTATACAAATACAGGAAAGAAATCGATGTATATTGGAAGAAATTTCTATCTTCGATAAAAAAAAATTATCCAGAAAATTATTTTGTTCGAATATTTTTTTATGCATATCGAAACAGTATATCGAAGAAGAGCAAAAATTTACTAAAAAGCAAAAGCAAATATCTAATAAGAGCTTTCTAGCGATGAAAATACTATTTATAGCAATTAGGATGATTTACATGGAATATTATATGCAAAAAAACTGTATAAAATTGTAATTATTACTATTACAACAATATAGTTGTATAAATATATATAAGTAAAAACTTTATGTACATTTGTGAGAACTATCGCGGCGAGATATAATAACAACACTGTTCGACAAGAAAAAACACCAAAACGAAACTGATCATTTTCTATAGGTTTTTGAATGTTGAATCAAAACTGTTTTCTAAATTGCTCCATCATGTTATAATTTTGAGAAATTTGCAATTAAAATTATAAAAAGAACTATTTTTACATATTTTGTCACATTGCAGCTACGACATGTGATATGTTGAAGAAATTTGATTACAAAATTAAATATCTTGTTAGAACTTTCAATTCTCAACAGGAATTTTTAATCGATGATTAAAATGATATGATTAATATGATATTCATTAAACATAGGATCTATTATAGAAAAGTTGTAAGTCACTGATGATTTACCAAATAATTTTCAATTATGTTCATTTAAACTTAGGCCCGGTTTTTCATTTGCTGATTAACTTGCAATTTGGAAGGAGTCGGACAATGTGGTTTTAAGCAGTCGTTTTAACTTGGTTTTAATCATCCCGGTCAAAATTGAATAATGGTATTATTTTACTTTGTATTACCGTTATTAACACAGTTTTTAAGCTAATTATTATATATACATCCAATAAAAAATTTTCATACATAATCATATATCATTGTATAAAATTATGCAAAAATATATAAATATAATTATGCCTAATCCAGTATATAATTATGAGCTTATATAGTACTAACTCATATATAATTATACATAGGTTATATTTTGCAATTGCTTAATACAACTTAACACTAACGTATATATCAGGAATGCATAAAGTGTAGCATTGTACACGATTCAATTAGAACAGAATGTGTACGCCGTGTATGGTTTCGCTTCGTTTAAAAATGTAACTTTTTCTGTCTGTATTGAATGAAAAAAAAAGTAAAAATGCCAGTCACTCACTGTCCTCTAATCTTATTTATAGCCGCCGCGGTTAGTAACACGTAATTATCACTAGAAAACACAAACTTACACAATCGATTAATAGCCTTCGGGCTGAATATGGATGTGTAGTATTATGTCGAGGATTATGGCAATTAGAACGCAACTAGTGTCGCTGTGTACACGAAAGTGTCTAATGGTTTTACAATTGGAAAGCACTCATAAATTCCTCATGATGTATATTTAAATGAATATACATACGTAACAATATATATTTTCATACATATTTTTATGTGACCCATTATAATTTATATATAAATTTATATAATTATAAGATATCCGTTCATCTTGTTATACATGTATAATTGTAAGAGATAAGTACACAGCTTTACCAAGGGATAGCGCGCTTTTCGTTAGAAGAAAACGCCCTATAAAAAGGTATATGTAATCGGATCCCGGAGATTCCTAAACTCTTTCGAAATGTGTTTTCTGGGCCTCAAATGTTTTTTGATTATTTTTTCGTGTATATTTTGAAATGTGATGCTAACCAATAATATTTAACAATAAAACTAGATTAATTATTATTTTTAACTTTCAGACCAGTATATATAATTATACAGGGTGTTCGAAAAGTGTCGGGCTTCTTCAATATTTCGAAAACTAATCATTTTAGAAAGAAATGTTTCAGACAAAAGTTGTAAGGTTTACAAAGATCTATTTACTGGTTTTATCAGTTTAACCTTGGGTGGTGTCGTCAAGATTAGAGATCAAAGTCATATTGATTATTTTAAATGGAAACTCTCATTTTTCATTGCATTTTTGTAGCTCAAAAGCTCTTCAAAACACTACGACAAAATATTTTTTCATTAAGTACTTTTCGCGTTTGAAAGTTACAGTACCATTGGCATTACCCAAGATGTCCGACCGACGGCTAAAACCTTTTGAAATGTCATTCAGGATCATGATTTGGATAAAATTTGTCAAGATCAAGGCCATTGAAAGTTTTTCCTCTTATTTTCATTTTTACGTAAAAATGAATGTTTAGTTCTTAAAAATAAGAACAATTTCCAATGGCTTTGATTTTGACAAATGTCCAGGTCATGATTCTGAACAATATTCAAGAGGTTTTAGTCGTCAATCGGATGCCTTGGGTAATGCTAACGTCGGCGTCAAAGATACTATAACTTTCAAACCTCGTAATTCGAAAAGGACTTCACGAAAAAATATTTTGTTATAGTACTTACAGTGTTTTGAAGAGCTCTTGAGATAAGCTACAAGAATATACGAAAAATGGGGGTTTCCATTTTAAAAAATCGATGTGACCTTGGCCTGACCTTGGTGATGTCACCCAAGGTCAAACTGATAAGACCAGTAAATAGATCTTTTTAAATCTTACAAATTTTGTCTGAAACTTTTCTTTCTAAAATGATTAGTTCTGAAATATTGGAGGGTCTCAACACCCTCTTTAAATTTTCGAACATCCTGTATATAATTATCGAGACACTACCGTGTCTCCAGATATATGTGGATAGACATACATCATATATAGTTCTGTATAATTACATATATAATAGTTTGTATATAATTATGTATGAAACATTTTTTATCAGGCAGCTAATCTTCGCAACTCTGTCATGCATGCGCAAAAAACCTTTGACGGGCAACGGCGCGCTTCCCCTCTTGCCTCTTCAAAACGCTGCCGGCAGCCAATACTTGATAAACTGGGCCGGGCTGTACCTCGAGCGGTCGAAGAGTTTCTCTCGACGTGCTCTTATTTGTACAATTACAAAATTTAATATCTCGACTATTATTGCGAATATCGCTAAACGGTATGGGACTTTTGTGTTCATCTCGATCTCATCTACCTTCCTGTGAGTTATGGCAAAAGTCTCGCTAGATACCCTGTATATACAGGATGTCTTACAATTCATGACCAAAATTGTAATAACATATTCCTAACTTAAAAATAAGATAAAAATCCTAATACCAAAATGTGTGTATGTGTGTATATATGGGGTGCTTCATGAGGAAGGATAAATATCTTGAGAGGTGATAGCATCAATCGTTTTAACAAAAATGTTCATATGAACATGTGTCCTATTTTGAACGGTTTCCGAGATAGGGCGAATTTGGCATGCAATTGCCTCTGTGCCTGCTGCGCAAAATTGTTGGTAAAAAAAAACACTACATAACTTTTTTTAATAATTTATTGTTTAACTAATACATTTTTAAAGTTCTAACAGCAGCAGAGGCAGTACCATCGTAAAAGTCGTAAACATACAGCATATGTGCATATTCGGCATGTGTGAATATGTGTGGCATTTTTGACAACGCTTCTACAACGTTACAAACAACACTAACTGTCGTGTTGATTGTAACATTGAAAATGCTTAACAGGTCACAGCGAAAACAGAAAATAAACAGCGACGCCAAAAGAAGTAAGTGAACTAAAAGAAGTGGCAATATTGCATGCCAAATTCGTTCTATCTCGGAAACCGTTCGAAATAGGACACATGTTCATATGAATATTTTTGCTTAAAATGATCGATACTATCACCTCCCAAGATATTGACCCTACCTCGTGAAACACCCTGTAAATATGTATGGACACCTTCGGTAATGTTAATGCCGACGATACTGTAACTTTCAAGCATTATTACTCGAAAAGTACTTCATGAAAATATATTTTATTATAGTGTTTTGGAAAGCTCTCGAGGTGTGCTACAAGAATATGTAATAAAAAATGGGGGATTCCATTAAAAAAATTTATGTTGACCTTGACTTGACCTTGGTGGTGCCCCCTATCCAAAATTCGTTATTTCCACTTTTTTTCCCCCCCAAAAACCTATAACTTTCATTGTTTGTGCAAACGAGCTTAAATGCTTTAACTTATTGCCATAAAAGTTACCACATTTGTTTGAAAATCGTTTTTGTAAAATATTTCGTCCCTATTTCTATCAATTTAACGAAAATAGAATTGTCGAGCAGTACGTGGCATCACCATTAGACGAAGCGAGTTAAATTTTTCTTAAATTTAAAAAACCACATAGAAGACATAGAATTAAAAGATTTTTCAGTTATATCTAAGGAAATAATTTTTTTAAGCGAGCTAAAGATTCCAAAATAAAAGTATAATACGTTTTTGTGAGATGTTTATCTCCGAATAAATAAAACATATAACTTATCTATCGCTGTAGGACCGTACCGAATATGCCTTTTTTTTGCGGCAATAATTTAAAATGCCGCTAGATTAGCAATTTATCGGATTAAAATGTCGCTAGATTATTAGCAATTTATCGGATTAAGATTTTAGGCAGAAACTGTTTTTATCATGCCCTGTAATTTCCGACAACAATCTATATAATCAATTTGTAAAAAAGCAATTGTTGCTATCAAATTGCTCAACTGTTAGTGGCAATAAAAATCGGTAATCCAATAGGCAAAATCAAGTGTCGTTTTCTACAAAACTGAAGGCAACTTAAAGGAAGCAGTTTCAAGAGAACTGACAACAACTTGCAGGCAACTTGTTATCCGGATATTTATATGAAATCATCAATAACCTAATTCACAACTTTTCCGCAATAGATCCCATATTCTACGAATATTTTATTATTCATAGCTGACATTAAAAAATCCTTTTGAAGACTAAAAGTTCCAATAACATATTTAATTTTGATTGCAATAAAACTTTTCCAACACGCCAGATATCATAGTTATAATATAACAAAATACGTGAAAATAGCTTTTCTGCAACTTTAATTGCAGATTTCTCAAAATTGTGGCGTGATGAACCAATTCGGAAAACAGATTCAATTTCAGTAAAAATTCAATTTCCAAAAAACTATTTTAAAATAACTAATCTTGTTCCGATATTCGAGAAAGTAATTTTTTGTTAAATAGTATAGCGCTACAATAATCAAGCAATACTATCAGCTTATGCTGTAATATTAAAAGTAAATTACGTCTAAAACTATACGTCATGTTTCAACACGTTATAAATAACTTATATTATTTTTAATTAAAAGTTTATTGCTTATATTAATCCGCAAAATCAAATTAAAATAATAAAATAATGTAAAGTTCTGAATCTCTCTCTTTCTCTATCTCTCTCTCTTTCGCTCTCTTCCTAATATTTAAGCGATTAATTATTTTCTACTAAATTATTAATATCATGTATTTTTTTAAAAATCTTTAAAAATAATGTCTTAGTAACTTCATCATTAGAATTTTCACACAATGAGAACAACAATACAACGATATTGGTACGAACTCTCACACAGATCGTAATAATTAACGATGGTAAAATGTGCGCGTGCTTGTGTATGTATGTATATGGCATATGTGGTGAATGTGATTTGTGTAATTAAGAATTAAATGTAAACAGTGTAAAAGACGATTTATTGTGGAGATACAGACCATCCTCACCTGGTAAACTTCCCTTGGCGCGGACCCCCCCACGAGCGGCCAGCCGCTGGACCCCACGGGCCCCTGAAGCTGCGGGGTTGCGTCCCCCCCTGACTGGCCCACGGGCTTGCGGGCCACCGATTCGGCCACGTGGCACTACTCCACGGCCACGACCAGCCTACCCAAATAACATACCCAAATTGTTACCCCATAATTGTACAATAATTTGCATTACATTTAATTTTCTTTTTTTTTCTTAATATTTTTATGTCTCTTCTGCTTTATATCTAATTTAGTTATGTACAGTATATCACGCAGTAGACCCTTAAAAATGTAGCAGTAATAAAAAACAATAGAATTAGTCTATATATCGCTGAATGATCAAGAGTTTTTCCAATACATATATGTGCATTTTATTCGTAATGCTCATATTTGGAGCGTAGACGTACATACAAGGCTTTTATATATACGTATACATCCATGACGACATAGCATGAAAAAGAGACGAATAAATAACAGAGAGAAGGGAAACAAGAAAGTTATGGAGAAGGAGAGACAGTGACAGAATGAGAAAGGAAGAAAAAAGAAAAACGAGAGAACGTGGCAGAAGATGTTAATCACCTATAACCAAATTTTTACTAACCACGTTTTTACATACAGCAGTAGGAGTTAGCAGAGTTATCCAATGTAGTAAAGCGAAAAGCGAACTGATTGGTTGGCGTAGGAACTTTTAAGCGACACAAGCTATTGAACTGGCAGCTAAAACAAAATTCAACCAAAAGGCGTATTATATAAATAAGCAGCGCAGCATTGTTAAGCGTTAAAACAAATGTGATTTAAGCGTAAGCTATGGTTTTATATACATGGATATAAGGACGGTGGGAGGCTAAAGCGAGAACTGCAAAACATGTTCACTGGTGCTATATACGGGGGACGAATCCTCTCTATTCCGTCATCTATCTCCGTGGTCTTTATCATACCTACGCATAATTCAGTGTACAAGTAATAAAATATTATTAATAAAGTATTACTAATCGTCACGTGACACATATACGATAAATCATTTGTAAATATATTACTGATTTGAAAAGTTTGAATGACGTTTATCATTCCTTAGTTCCAATACTGCTGTTTATAATTTGCGACGAACTTTTCCTCCTGCTTAATAAAAATAAAATTGGCATATTGAATTGATTTATTTTTTTGAAGTCAAAGCGATGTATGTATATGTTACATAGTTACATATATCGGATATACAGAGTGACAATAACTATATACCTCTCGTAAAAAAATTTGAAGAAATATTTGTGAATATTTGTGAAGAAACTACCAGTCAACAAACTATATATGCGCTATATACAGCATCTGGTAATAATTGAATTATCTCTTGCAAGCAGTAGAGCGAATTAAATTAAATAGAAAAATCTTCTATCATTTTGCAAGTTTGACAATAATTAATTTTTTAATAATTATTCCAGGTAGGTAGAGGATTTTTCTATCCAATTTAACCCTTTACTGTCCACAAGAAGTAATTCAGTTATTACCAGACACTCTGTATATAGCGCATAACATAGTTTGATTGATTGTTTCTTCAAATACAGGAGTTTCTTCAAATACATCATAGGAATACGAAAATTAATCTAAATTTTTTCCTGGAAGAAATTCAATTAAAGAATCCGATGCATGCAACGTTATTATTTACACAAATAGTTACGTTTAATAGTACAGAATACAGAAAAAAAAATTCAATCACAAGTTACAAAAGAATAAACTCCATTTTGTTCTGTATTCTCATCTGTATTTGTAATTTAAATTAACTTTTTTTTACTTCAAAGAAATTTATAAAATGAATATTTGTGTCTTTTTTTTTTAAATAAGAGATTCGATAATTCTACTTAAAGCGAAGATGTCTACAATGACAATCTGATGGTAAAAATTTGTGAAAGAAAAAGTGGAAATTGAAGTGTAAAAGAAACATGATATGTGAATATTGAATCGTGCGGATGCAGCAAAATAAAAATAATAAATTGTAATTTATAGGTACCGAAAAATTGGAACAGACTAAAACACTTCCTCAGGAGGCAAACGGAATCATCGAATATAATCGAGATTACGTCCAAAATAAATAATAAAGCAAAATTAATGTTAGAAAAAGGCTCAAGTTAATGCGAAAACAATTCGAAAAAGATTCTCGTTTGTCTATCTCTCCTCGAAAGCAACGGGGCTAACTACATCGTGCTATATGATGACATCATATAGCACGGGGAATATAGTAACATCAAATAATACATATAAGAAACCTGAGTGCGCATGTCATGTGTTATCGCAATAGCAAGGCACTGCCAAGAGAAAAAGTTGATCGCAATATAAAAATATAATAAAAATGAAACAATAAAGTAAATTTTTTTCGCGCAGGGTGCCCATACGCTCCCTTTTGTCATGTTTGGATAACCCTGTAACTTGACATAAAAAAAGTGTAACATCATATCCGAGCCACGAGACGCAACGTTGCTCTAAGAAAAAAAAAAAAACAAATTACTCGTACATGGAGACTGTAATATACAAAGAACGACGATGAGATATATAAAAAGTCCTGTACACTGCTTTCTGCCTACATCTGGAATTCTCCTGAAGCTGCGCTAGAATAATAATGAAGGTGGAATAGTGTTAAGTGATCCTGCAACACTGTAAAATGTGCGATCTTCTTCCTTGAGAGGACTTATATAAATATGTGGATATTTATCTTCAAGTTTCTATTTTTTAATCCGCATGTTTTTCCCTTTTCTCTTTATTCTCTTTATGTTTTTTAATTTAAATTGCTTTTCCCGGCTATATCTTGGTTGAAAATTTGGAATGGGTCTACCATGGCTCAGATATGATTTGCAAGCAATTTGAAAGTGGCAATGTGTTCGGATTACAAGGTCTAATCTTAGTAATATCGAAGCTTTGATGTTAGTACAGTATAGATTCATAGGGTCTATATAAATATAATACCATTCATAGTACGCTCTTAACTGCATTCTTTCCTGCTCTCTTTACCTTTCTCCCCTTCCCCCTTTTCTCACACACACATCTTGGATTTATTAAAATTTTATAGTTCAGATAAATACTATACTGTGCATTTAAAATTATAAAATCAGGATTATATTAAGATGTCTTCCTGCGAGTTAATAATGATTATAGTAAAAAATAGCGCATACCTAATTAGCCAGCGTTAATTTACACGCTCAGAGAAGACAGAGAAAATATATGACAGATGTTGATCTGGATGAAAAATTGGAGAGAAGTACGAAATATATTAGGAGAATCCGTGAACACTGTGCCACAGTCAAACTACTGCTAGTATAAAAACAAGTAATAATGATTTCAGGAACGAAAACGACTTTTTAGAACCATTAAAAAGGCGACCCACCGGTTGAGGCTGCCTGCCTCTCCCTCTGGCAGGCGGCGGAGGCGGCGCATAATCGAAATAGTAATCTTCATATCGATAATAGTCATCGTAATAGGGATCACTGTAGCCACCTCGATAATCCCCATAACCGTAATAGTCGTAATCATAATCTATAAAAACACACATTACAAATAGACCCAAATTTAGCCACGATATCCAATTGACAACTTACTGAGATATAATATAATACTATTTCAATATTATAAGAAAGGCATGCCGGGAAAAGATAATTTGGAAAATGCCAATATACAATAGAAATAAAAGAGAAAGAAAAACAAAAATAAATTTAATCGTATATCGAGAATAAAATATTTGTGTGGAAAATATGATTTCGATAAAAAAAAAGAAAATTGTAAAAACACTCAGTATATACAAATATCATACAAAACTGCGTAATGATTACCCTACCACCATCACATTTCCTGAGATAAAAAATTGTAAGGCCATTCAAAAATTTCACATTTATCCCAGATAAAAAATGTTACTGAAATGTAAAATAATTCTATGAAAAAAATAAATACAAAATATCTAAAATATTAATTAACAAATATAAAAAAATAACTTAATTCTCTCAACAATAAAATGTAATTTATATGCGCATAATCTTATCATTTCTAATTTTTTAAATTCTATAAAGTCATTTAGATTAGACGTTTTTAAAAACAAAGGAAAAATATGAATATCTACAATTTAGAAAATATTTGAAACAGTACATTATAAAGAAAAAAGTTTCTATAAATTTCATTAGAAAAGATTAATTTTCGATGACCTCACAATGTGTACTTAAATTGGGCATTAACATAAAAAGGAAGAAAATACACAGGACTACGTATGATACTTTACAACTGTTGCATTCATCATTCATCACGGCTTACCTATTTCCTGGAGAGCTGTAAACAGATTTTGAACTGATGATGCATTGTACTAGGTATACGAGGTTCACATACGCTCACATATATACAAATGAATGAAAAAAAAAATTATATAAAAATTATCCTTGGCGATGCATATGATATTCTATGTACTACCAGAAAATAATTCTCACTGAGGCACCAAACAAAAGTACAAAACAAATGAGAAAATATACATGCAATTATTTTTTTGTTAAAAAAAGAAACAGATATCACAGGAAGTGGCAGTGGTAAGGCAACAAGGTGTTCATATTACACAAAATGCTAAGCACACATCTAACATACATATATGTATTCATATACATATGTGTGTGCGTGTGTAATAATATAGTACAGATTAACAATATATACTCGTGAAAAACATAATTCATTGTTTTTACGTAATTAAATAAAATTGTTCAAGAAAATTAAAGAATGCCTTTATTATCTCAAAACTAGACACAGATCAGACATAATAAATAAATTACAAGTAAATAAATTTATACTTTTCATTTTATGATTTAATAATATATCTGAATAAAATCTCTAATTATAATCTTATTAAACAATTTGCATTTAAGTATTCTTAAAAAGCAAAAACAATTTATATCGTAATATAATACGTTTCACATAATTTTTATATAAAAATAATTTATCAATATATGTGTATATATATTATAATATTTACATACACATATAAAAAGATTAGTATTCTCAAAAAATATATAAAAAAGTTAAATCAAATAATATATAATTATGCCTAGATTTTTTACGTCGATTTATCAGTCTTATATCGGATTTATAGCAATAAATAATATAAACTGTAATAAACTGTAATAAAAGAATCAAAAATGATTTTGATTAAGAAAAAGATTCCGATCGAAAAACTATAATGTAATATGGAAATCAGAAAGTATTTTTTATTCACACGTTCAAAATAACTTATCATGCGCGTAAGCCAAGGTATATGTAATGAGATAGTAAAAAATTCCCAAAAGCATGCAAATGTTTATGTAATTATTTTGAAAAAAAAAATATATATATATATATTTTTAGTGTCCGTCAAAAATCTCGGGGCACCTAAATAATTTTTGAATGGTTCAAGAATTTAAAATTTATAGAGATACAATGGGATCATAAAATCTATTATTTAACTTCGAAAATATCCACCTTATCGCTTATTTCTATGCTATTCCTATCGCTGTTCTTGTCGCTGTTGTCTTACATTGGGAGCTTTCCAGCAAGACACAAATTGACAGAAGAGTCATTCTGTCCTTGTTCGATAATCAGTAAGAAATAAAGAATGACTCTTGTGTCAATTTGTACTTCTGCTGGAAAACTTCCATAGTATCTAGGGCTTAACACCCCCGAGAGGAAGCGTTGGAAGAGAGGGGTTAGAAAATCTTAAATGGAATGTGGGGTCGAATGAGGACTCGTTTGAAAGTGCTTTCCAGGACGAATACAACGCGGAATGACCGAGGTCTCTACGATTTTTTTCGTAGAATTATAACAATTTAAACATTGTTATGGAGATTTTGCGGTAGCGAGGACCCACGGTGAGGACGTGAGGAAGATAAGACTTCGCGCGGACACGCGTTCCTGAGTGGATGGAAGTGCATGACGGAGAGTGCGCAGTGTGTGAATGCGTGCGTGTGCGTGCGCGTGCGAGACACAGGCAAAGGTCAGGACCCCACGGTTTAACACTTCTGCGGTATTTAATGACCAAGTGAGCCAAATGATCATAATTATGCGAAAAAAATCATAAAGACCTCGATCACCCCACGTTGTTTTCGTCTCGCAAGTCCTTTCAAACGAGACCATATGCCATTTAAGATTTTCCGGCATCCTTCTTCCGGGCCCCATCTCCCGGTGTTTTCGAGGTTAAATAATGGATTTTATGATCGTATTGTATCCCTATAAATTTCAATCTTATATATCGAACCATTTAGAAGTTACTTAGGTGTCCCGGAACTTTTGGCAGACACTATACGTATACAGGATCACAAAAAGATCAAGCCATTGGATTATCTCGAAAACATGACGTTTTCGAAAAAATTTTCAAGCAAAAATAGAATATCAAATTAATAACATGTGGTGATATTATAAATCCGACTATGCGACCTCTGTGTGATGCACCTTGGATAACGCTAACGCCTGTGATGGTATTTAAACTTTAGCAGCAGATATGTCGAAGTTTTTAGCCAAATGAAATCTAATTATACTGTTTTGAAAAAGTCGATGTTGACTACAAGAATTCAATAAGATGTTTCAATAAGATGAATTTAATAAGAATTTAAACAATAAAAATTAGGGGTTCCCATTTAAAAAATTTGAATGTGACGTATATTTCAAGCTGATATTGGTCAAATTAATATCATCATATAATGGGTAACTTGGTATCCTACTTTTGTATGAAAATTTTTTTCTGAAAACATCTTTCTGAGATAATTTACTGTCCCGACCTTTTTGCGATATCTCATATATATATGTATGTATATACATATATATATGTGTATATACAATATATAACCATTTAATATACTAAATATTTTTAATCTGAAATAAATTAAACAAAAAGTTATAAAAATAAAAAAAAAATTTATGCATAACATAAAAATTATATGTATATATAAGTATATCTTCTCATAAATTTATGTACACTTAGCAAATGAACTATGAACATACGTATTAATTCATATGTGATATTTTACAATTTTTAACAGCAAAACTTCTATAGTCTCAATAAAATTATAATTATTAATGTTTTTTATAATTATTAATTTGTTAATGCTTTCTTCACATGTAAAATATTAATCACAATCTTAATATATTACATAGCTTTAATAACTATAATTTTAGTACATGATATACTAAATATGTGGTGCCAGCATAATAATTCAATAGTGATACTAAGAGAAATAATTAACATTTAAATGAAAATTATTATCTGAGAACAATAAAATTATATAAGCATATATATCAATATATATTAATGTGATATAAATTATTGAAATTTTTATTAGCACGAAAATCAAAGTTGCTGTTCTGTTAGGGCGCTGTCGAAAAATACATGAACCAACGCAGCAAAAAGTAAAAAAAAGAACTCAAATTGGTACTAACCATAATCGCCTCGTCCCATCTGTCCACGCATACTTGCACCAGTACCCCGAGGTCCCTGTGAGGGCCCACGAACTGGCATTGGACCTCCCATCATGCTCGGATGAGACGGAGATCCACTGTAAAAGGGAAAATTATATAACGTCTTTAATTTATAAATAAATGAAATAAAATAATTTAAAGTAATTTAAAGTGAAATATAATGACACACAAATGATACGGATTAATTAAAAATAAAATATCAATAACTTACCCGCCTCTGCCTTGTAACATTTGCATCATTCGTCTTTCCCTGGCACGCAGCATCTCTTCCTTCTTCTTTTTATCGGATGGTGGTTTTGCCAATGAAACTTCTATGTGCGATCCACCCATTTCTTTACCATTTAATTCGTTCATTGCCTTAAGAAAATACATTACATATATTTAAAATAAATTTTTATTAGAGATTATTAAACGGAATATAATTTGATACATTTTTTACCTTAACAGCATTATCTCTATCTTCAAAGTGTATAAATGCATAATCCTTGATTTTTTTCACTCGTTCAATTTTGCCATATTGTTCAAAGCTTTCCTTCAGTTTTTCTTCAGAACAATCTTGCGTCAAATTTCGTACGTAAAGCACACGTACCTAAAACAAAACAATTTTATCATTTTTTTTAACACGCAAGAATCGAAGACAATGATAAAAATAATTAAATTTGATTGTATTACGAGTCATTTACTTTGGACATGGTTTGTTCGTCTGGCTCTTCTTGAGGGTCGGCCCAATCAACAATAATATCACATCCCCAAACTTTAATACGTCCAGTGCTTAACCTTCGCTTGGCTAAGGAAGCTGCTTTGTGAGATTCGTATTCCAAAAAGCAAAAACCTCTATTCTTCTTTTTGTCATCTGGTGAACTGTAGATAATCACCTCTGTCAGGCCAGCTATATGTCAAAAAAAATCATACAAAAAAGCAGATAAGATTTATTCGAACTTTATACGATACTCGTAAAAATGATCAGAATTGTTACTATATAATAAAAAATAGAAATAATATTCAAAATAAAATATAAATTCAAGCAGCTATTATAATTTTATATGCGATATTTGCCGTGAGCGAGAGATTTGCACTCTATGTTTCAAATAATTATAATAATTATTTTGCCTATCTGGAACGTTTTTAAATTTACAATATTCATATTAAATTATACATTATAATAATCATTTTATCATACAGAAAATAATTATCATAGATCATTTATATTAATTATTAACAACATTACATATTCGCATACGTAAAAATATCGTTACAAAAATTGGTTATCGTATATAATTTTTTATTTTTTCAGATTATAATTCCATATCTATATTGCGCTTTATATGCAGCGTAAGAATACCATTTAAGAATAAAAAATTAAATAAAGACAAAATTGAAGAGAAAAAATATATTACAATTACATTAATGTGTCTCCGACATTAATTAATCTGTACGATTCCTAAAACATTTATACGTATCTTCATATAACAAAAAATTACATTATATCATTTATTAAGTCTTTTCTAGACATTGTTAATGTTTCTATTTCATAAATTATGAATTTTGTTTATTTATATTTGCACGTTTAAAAACAAACACACTTAACATTTAAAAAAAGAAGAAAACAAGCTTAAAAAATGAATTTATTAAGTAAAATATCTTTGATAAAAAAATTATTCGAGGATTAAATATAAAAGAAATAAAAGAAACATTACTTCAACAAATGCTCACAATCTATGTCAAAATAAAATTTCAAATAAAAAAACTACAGAAAATCAGGATTAAAAGAACAGAAAAAATAGACACTATTAATAGCTACAAAGAGAGAGACTGCAAGCTCTAAATTCTGTAAAACACTCTTTATCAGAATAGTTATATGTATATTAATACATATACATATGTTCTTTAGCATTTCTTTACTGAATCTGTATATTTTTGGAGAATTTGAGAGGATTATTTAATTCAAAAGCATATAAATATTATTAAGAAGAATAATTCTCATGCTATTAGAATTCCCATGCATTATAATTATTCAATTACATGTACATAAAGAAATCGATATTTTAATATTATATGTATATAAGTATTATATCCTTCATCTCTCTGTCTTCTAATCTCAAGATGTGAGAATATCATTTGTATTTCCCGATTTGATTTCACTCCGATCTAACTTGACAGAGCTTTTCTGGAAATAGCAGCAAAAGTACTGAAAGATTGCCAAACAAGAAGCAATTTAACAATTATCACTAGGCAACTTAATTAATCTGACATCATTCCTCTGAACTTTTATTTTTCAGAGATAGTCTCTTTCTCTCCTTCCTCTCAGTTTAGAAGTTACACTCTGGACAACAAGGCATCTTGTACGTATATTTTTTAAATAATAAATCTAAGCAGCAAACCATTGATTTTGTATGCACTAAATCCATAAAATTTCATCATAATAGAGTAATTTTATAATTACTTACTAATGTTATTGACTAATATCCATAAAATATAATTTACTTGTACTAATTTATTCATTATTCATAGTAAATGCATCAATTCTCTTAGTTTCTTGTCTGTCAGTTATATTACATTATATAAGACATGCGGAAATCAAATGCTCGTTGTTAGATGCCTTGTATCATTATATCGATCGTATTGACTGCTCTTCTAAAATTTTTCGATCATTTCTATGTAAATTTTATTATTCAAGGCGTTTGCCTTTATCATCACTTTTATATATTGATCTCCTCTCTGTGTCCATATATTAATGTTACATGCAAGAATCTTATGCACATACATACGAAATATAGTGATGATGATCACAAACACATTCATTCGATCACACTGATCATTCTCTTTTGCCATATTTACATTTATACTATACAAAAATAATATATCTTTCATATTAAATTTAACGTCTGAAATTAAAAAGATATCACAATAAACACACAATTATTCATTCGTGAAATACGATTGCGTCTCTATCTTAATTCATATATTTAATTTTGTGTACAAAAGAAATATATATTTTCCATTTCAAAACATAAATAAATAAAATAAAACTGTTACCATTTCTTAATTATGCATAAATAAAAATATCAATAAACAATACTGGCTGTAAAATTTGCATTCCAACTTTGAATTTTGTGTCCCAAAACCAAATACTCGTAATAATTTCTCAAAATTGTATAAAGTATAAAAACTCATATACACTTTTTCTGTCTTTCCCTCTCCTTCCTTTCTTCTTTCCCTTCCTTCCTTCTTCCCTCCCTCCCTCCCTACCGTCCCTTCACATTGTCATTCTCTCTTTCTTGTCTGCCTGCGCACGCGCGCGTTTTTATGATTGTATGTGCGTGCGTGTATGTGCGTGTATGTGTGTGTGCGCGCGCGTATGCGCGCGCGCGCCTGTGTGTAAGGAGGAAAAAAATTAAATGAGCATATAAATGTATATATGGATGGATAGATGGATGGGTAGGTGAATGGATGGATAAAATGGTCAGTCGTGCACGCGCGTACATGTGTGTATGTATGTTTCAAATAAAATAAACTCAGTTGGTTGTAGGACACAATTACGATTGTCTACTCATTGCAACTATGCACGTTTTGCAAACGAAAAGTTATTAGAAATGAAAGGAATTATATGATAAGAAGAGTTCACATTTGGCTTATAAATAAATTGGTCAGCATTACCAAACATCAATAATATTTTCGAAAATGAATAATGAAAATTTCGTTTCTCCGAGTACCAATTCACAACAAGATTTTTGTTTCACATTTATGCAAGAGGGCTGGATTTAACCCACCTGGCACCTCTGCTACTGACTAGAGAAAAACACCTGATTTGTTATAAGATGATAAATTTTTTGTCCCATTATATCTCCCAGAGAACTTCCATTTGGTTACTGCTTGCTGATTTAAGGACAATTGTCAACTTACGTGCGTGCTTTGTAAACTCTTCGAACAAGTCATCTCGGTCTCGATTCTTTGGAATATTTCCCACAAACAAGCGGTGATTGTTATAAGATACGGTAACACCAATCTTTTTCCCTTTCCGAATCTCATAATCATTCAGCTGTAAGAATAATGTGGAAGGAGAGTGCCAATTAAGCTTGCCATTTATGATTTCACCTGCTTATTGGCTGTCTGAACGTAGGATTTCATGAAATGTCCTTGAGGAAAGAGGGTTGGTTGTGGGGGGATGGAGAGATTTCATTTTAAATATAGGACCAATTATTCAAAGGATCATGGACATTTTGATAGTTGAGAGGATCAATATCATACAGGGTGGGTGGGAGTGCCTGTCCGTTTGTTAGCGAGCCAAACGCCCCAGCGGTCCACGCAAATCTCCCATACCCCCAAAGCTTAAGACTTAGTGATGAATTACATTTGCATATTGCAAAATTGCAATGGTGCAAGACAGCGTATATTTTTGTCACAGTACATAAAATAATTCTTAATCTAAAAGTATCATACGGCTTCCACATTTTCTCTTTCATTATATCTCGCTTCTTTTTTACCGTTCTAAAAAAAGAAGACGAAGAAGATATCAGTAATAAAGATTGATGAATTGATCAGTTGCATAAATTCGAGGACGGGGAAATCAAGAGGATAATAAGGTATTCGCATGTATAGAATAGGAAGCAAACTCATAAGTCAACCTAAATATGCGAGGAAAAGAAGACTTGGACCAGAGAGGTGTTACTGTTCACTAATAAACCGAGAGGCAAGGAGACTGACCAGAACTAAAGGTGCCATAAGGTATGTTCGTAGATCATAAAATCAATGTGATCCTTGGATGCTCCATAGTTCCATACCATCTACAACCACTACTTAAAAGCTAGCACTCTTAAATTATACAATACAGGTAGACAGGTAGGTAATAGGTAGGTAGGTAGGTACACACGCCTCGAATTCACTTTACCTGTTAATTTACCAAATTCCTCCAAGATCTCCTCTTTGCCTTTTGACTTTGGTATGTTCCCCACGAAAAGACGTAGATTAGGAACGCTAATGTTTACTTTCAGACTCTTGCCGGGTTTTATTTCGTGATTATCGAGCTGTGGGATGCAGAAAACAGACACATGCCTAATTTTGTTCCAATGAGGCGGTTTCATGGTTTTTAAGTTAAGATAATTACGGCAGATATGACGGAATTTGGGAAAAAAATTTCTAAATATGCAATTTAATACGAATATTAATTATTAACAATGGCGTAGATTCACGAAAGCGAGAAAGTGGCATGCGCTTTGTCGCTCGAGTCTTCACAATATAGCAAACCGGCCTTTCATGTACTCCTGTAAACAAATTTTAAGCCTACCAATTTTCAGAATTTTGTTACAAAAATTGTCACTGTCCAATGAGAATCAACCAATTAGATAAATATACCCCTAACCAATTAGACCACATAATCATCATGATTTTCAGAAAGGTTCTCCACTCCCAATTTTGCCCTCTGAGCAAAGAGGAGAGCTGGAAAAGAAACTCATCCATAGGACATCATTAATATATATTTTTCAGTGTTATTAAATATATAGGATCAGTGGATGTAATTGCGTATTTAAACACGAATAAATGGTCAGGGACATATACATAAAACATATAATATGTGGATTGTTCCTATGTATGTGTGTATGTGTATAATAAAATTAAGTATAGATGTGTTTTCATTTATGTCAAAATATCTCACCTAACTCTCGAGCACCTTAAGTATCTTTGCTATTCTAAGTAATAAAAAAAATTCACACACAAGTTACAAGATTTAATAAATTCAAAAAATACATAATGTAGTAGCAATGCTTTCGTTATGCAGAAACATGAAACATTTTGAGAACACATCTCTTTTTTTAAATAAAATGTGATTTTTCTTACATCTTTAATACAAATCTTCTAATTATGTTCCATATAAAAGTAAAGCTTGCGGTACACGATGTACGTTTTCCTGCTATGGATTGCTTGCGTTTTAGTAAATTATTAGAATTGCACCACACAGAATGCAAAATTTCTAGTAATTTATCAATCAAAACATGAGTAATCCAGTAGGAAAACTAGCATCGTATCCTGTAGGCTTAATATAAAAATATAGAGGTGAGATTTGAAAAAATTAATTTTTTTTCGAGATAATTATATTTTATGCCAAATTATGCCACATTAAAACATTAGATATTTTATAAATTATTGATTTTTTAACTTTATATTAACAGTTTTATAAAAGATAATTAGAAAAATCAAACCCTCTTGAGAAGATGAAGTCTTATTTGTAATTAATCTAATTAATCTAATTAATTAAACTTATTGTTTTTTCTGAAGAGGGTTTGAACAGGTAGCCAAAACATGTCAAGAGTTGAAATTTATGAAATTAGATTTGAATAATAATTCAATGTGATTATCGATTGAATATATAAATTGTTTTATGCAATAAGTTCTGCGGCTCTTCAACCCTGTCATTTTATATATTTTTAATTTATATCATTTAGAACCCTTTATTATTATCATTTTACTTTTATTTTAGAAAAATCATATTTGATTTACAAAAATCAAATTGCCTCTAAAATCTCCTTCACATCTTCACATATAACGAAATATTGCCACTATACAGGGTAACAAAAAAATCCCTCTGAGATATTTTATCAATTTCAGATTTTTTTTGTATGATGTGTCATTCACAAAAGTAGAACCATGTAATTTCAACTTTTTCTTATTATTCAGAAGAGCAAAGATTTAAAATTCTCGATATCAATGAGAAAACCTATACATATATGAATCACATACTCATGTACATATGCACATGCCCTCCCCTTTCTTTCTCTCTTCTTTTCTTTTACTCTTTTCTTTCTGTTTTCTTTTTTACTTTTCTCTCTCTCTCTCTCATTCTCTTACATTCTCACTCTCTTTGCTTGCTTTTTCATTCATTCCCTTTCTTTCTTCCTTGTTTCTTCATTCTTTCTTGCACACAATGCATATGTACATATGTATGCAAAATTTCTATTTTTTCTAAAAATTGTGTATATATTTTTAAAAAATGTGTAAATTCAAAAAATTATAAAAATACGTGAACTTAATAAATTAATATATCTGCGTTAAATCTACTGGGAAACAACGAAATATAAAAAAGATAATATAGAACAAGCCACATAGGAATATAGTAATACTCATTCGAAATGTTCAACAGAACACAAACGCGTATGTGTATATATATATATATATGTATATATATGTGTATATACACACACATATATATATAGTTTTCATTATCAATAATGTGGATAATTCAACCGCAGCTCATATTAAAGTATTATTTAAAATAAAAACTAAAATATATTAGTATTTTAAATTTAATTAAATATGAAACTTGTGTGACGAAGTTAAACTTCTCTATTTAATTTATAAACATTTCGAAAAAGCACTATTATGTTGGTAGCAATAACAATTTTGTAACATTTCTAAAAATTTTGAAAATAAAAAGATAAAAGGATCCTAATCTATGTGTGTGTATGATAATACGTTAATAACTAAGAAAGAAAAAACTATATATTGTACGAAAATATACACAATAATTATATTACGAAAAGATCTAAGGAAAAATATTAACATACCTCTCGAACAGCTTGCTGCGCAGCTTCCCTATTAGTGAATGTGATAAATGCGTATCCTCTGTTGGAACCTGACATGGGATCCATCATCAGTCTCAAGTCCCAAATTTTTCCACATTTCTCAAATAATGGAATTAATTCATCTTCATACATATCTTTTGGGATTTTGCCACAAAATACCTTTTTATAAAAATATTTGACATAATCAGTTTAAAAATAAACATAACTTATATATCATATTTAATATATTTCCTTTAATAACTGCATTATATACACATTATGTTGTTAATAATGCAATTCATGATTGCAAGAGAGATTTTTGGTAAATTTTTATGTAAAAAAAAAAATAATTTAAAAATATTAGTAAAACATATAACATATCGCACTTGTAATACATAAAACTAAATATATACATATGTAATAGTATTGTGTACGCGCGCGCGCATGTGTGTGTGTATGTAAGCAGGGGAAGGGGGAGGAAATGCGCGCGTACAATTTATATAGAGATAAATTTACCTCGCAACCAGTGCCAGGAGTTGGACCCTCCCAATTTGGTGGAGGACCACCATATTTTCTTTGTCCAGTAGTTACATCCAAAGGATATCCCGTTCTTTCCAGAATTAACTAAAATATGATTATTTATATTATAAAATAGAGTATTTAGGTATCTAAGTAAATTAAAGTATGTCCGTGTCACATTATACATTGGAGATTGAGGATTACAAATTAAAGATTAGAATTTGACCAATCAGATAATATTTTAATCAGTTTCGTTCTAATTGGCTGAATTCTAATCCTCTATTCGCAATTCTCACTCTCCAATATGTAGTGTGCCATAGACATTAGAGAAATTTACATATACAAAGATATGAATATAAATTGACATATATAAAAGCATATCTTCAATTTACTTTGATTTTATCTTCATCTGGGGCCTTAGGTGTCGTGCTGGTGCCTGTACCTTGACCAGCACGACTCTTTTGTCTGTACGTCTTCATTACTCCACAAAGGTATGCCGATTTATTGGATACATGTTCCAGGTTGGATTCCAGAAATTGTGTAAGCACGTTTAGTGCACCGTCAACTGGAAATTCCTTCAAGGCATCAAGAGCTCTTTCATCCAGATCGATATGAGCTAATTTTCCCGTCTTATAAATTTCATCCAATTTGGCAGCCACTTTCTCGTCTAGCCCGTATTGCATGAGTTTGTTAAAATCTTCTGTCCGTTCTACATTTTCCATTTCTTGTTTTTCTTCCATTTTTATCTCTCCATTCCCTTCTGCCATAGCTGAAACAATATGTTAATAAAAATGTTTATCTTTTGTCATTACATTAATTAAATTCGTAATGAATTATTTGGTTATATAATATATATCACAAAATGTGTGATACTTGTACAAATTTTTTGATACGTTGAATAATACAATTTTATTAAATAAAATATTCTTTTCACAACAAAAATATTATAACATTTAATATATAAATTCAAACATATATTATGCAACAATAAGGTAATATTTTCTAATATATTTCTATAACAATGCATGATATTACAACTTACTCCTTTTACTTTCACTGAGATAAAAAAGAAGCAAAAAAAAACTTTAGAACAGATTTCTTATTAGTAAGTAAGATTGTATATAATAAGTATAGAAAATAATTATTAGCAACAAACTTTAAACATACGCAGAGAGAGCACTAGCTATTAATTACAAAATACATAATTTAGAATTTAAGTAATATTCTTAATACAACTCGCGCAATCACTATTTCGAGCAAATCTAAATTGTCAATCAAACTTCGATTATTTTCATTTTTCCAAGAAATACATTTATACATAAAAATTTATTTCAAGTGAAAAAGAACGTTGTCTCGAGATGTAGGACAATAAAGTGTCCAGGAGCAAAGTCGAAAAATGAGCCAGTGTGTGAAGAAAGAATCACAAATGCTCCGATCACATACTTGACAATGCACTCCATAATGCAAAGGTGCGAAATGTGTGAAAGAAAACTGAAAGAGCCTCTCTCATATACACGCACGCACGCACGCACTCACTCATCCACACACGCGCGCGCGCGCGCGCGCATATAAAAAACACAAATATATACATATATATATATATATATACGTCGGAGTGCACAAATCGGAGCAAGAACCGTCCGCGATCGGATCTCCCTGGCGCACCAAACTTGAAAATAAATAACTAAAAATATCAAAGCAACCGACTATAGACATTACATTTCCGTTTGATACGAGAAACGAGAAGAGCAGGAACCGAGGAGGAAAATTCGTAATGCCCAATGTAATGCCGTACGTTATCGATGACACTCGCAGTTCAGCGCAACGATTAGGCAGCAGGACGATTGAACGCGGTCGCCGATCGGTTGGCGTAGACCACAGACGGCAATGGTGACGGCAACAGCGCGGCAACAGCGCAGCGTAGCGTGGAGCGGAGCGGAGCAGAGAGGAGAGGAGAGGAACGGAGCGGCGCAATCGCCGCTGTAGCAAAGGATTCGCGCGGCAAGAATTGTCGCGATGATATTATTCTTCTATCCTCTCCAACGTCGCCGTTATTCTCACGACGAGACTCGCGGTTCCACTTTTACCACGCGCTAATTCGCCGGCCGGCGAAATGCAATTGCATCCCGCACAGCGGCGGTGGCCGTCGCCGTGATGCACTTGTATGCACTCCAGGCATATGCACTTCGCAACGCATTTATCTCGGTATTTTTCACTCGCGCTCGCGGAAACGTAGCGATAAACAACACCGTGGCTCAAATGCAGAAAATTAACCGTGTCGATAATGTAAAACGAACGGCGATCGTTACCTTGCAAAATAAACGAACGGGCTCCTCCGCGCGAGGAAATGGCGACAGACGTCAACGTGATTGCGGACTACGGGGTTCACAAAACGACGCGCAAAGATACGCTCGAACCCAGCGATACGACGTTGGCCATTTTCTCGCCGCGGCCGTCCTCGCGCGAATTCTGATTGGCGCCTGCGAAACTGCTCGACGGGGAAAAAAGTCGACTGTTCCGCGGGTCAAATCGGAGTACCGCGCTCGCAAAATTCGGAGCGAAGCTCGCTCGGTCATGTGCGCGCGCTTACGCGCGCACACCTATGTACGTACGCGACGAATGTCACATGAAATCGAATATTCATGGTGATTCGCGAAAACACAACGAAATTAGTCACTCAAAATCGAAAATATGATAGGACTCAACACGAATTTTGCTACAATTGCCGCTCGCAACGCGTTGTGCCGGTTGTAGACCAGCGCGATGTTTGTCGCGCGCGACACGCGATATCCAATGAGCGTACAGCTTTACTGAAGTTCTCATTCTAAAGCTATATGCTCATTGGTTATCACGTGTCGCGCGCGACAAACATCGCGCTGGTCTGTAACCGGCATATAATACCGGTTTACATAAGACGGAACATCTGCAACCGCGCGAAAATCTATCATGAAATCTAAAAATCATAAACGCTATTAGCTCCTGTCTGATTGGCATATTCTGTTAGATTTAAAAATCTAGACTAATTAGATGCAAGAGCTCCCTGAGCGCTCAGTGAGCGGTTGTAGTAAATGCACCCAATGGCTACGATCGCTTTGTCGCTTACAGCGCTTGTGAGCATGAATTGTCCTTGTTTAATATTTAGGGTGCATTCAGTTTCACGCGTGTGTAATGTGCAAGACTTTGAGCGACCAATCAGAACAAAGAATTTTACAAATTGACTAATCAAAGAATGCTTCGAAGCGTTTGTAGCGTCAAATAGACCACAGTCTATGTCCACAACCTTGCTTTAATGATCCGTCTACAATACACGTAGTAAGCTTGGTTTAAGAAGTGATAATAAGAAATTGACCAATCACCAACCTTGCTTTAAGAGGCCGTAAGCCGTAAGCCTTAAGAAATTGATCAATCACAGTTGAATGTAAGAAAAATAATCGACTGTAATTGGTCAATTTCTTACTCTTACAGCCTCATCCATTACTGATACTGCCATTGTAGACCACGCATTAGGAGTTGTCTACAATATATGAAGTAAGCTTGGTTTAAAAAGTAAGAGTAAAAAATTGACCAATTACAGTCGAATGTGAGAAGAATAATCGACTATGATTGGTCAGTCCCTAAGGCTTATTACTACTAAGTGCATCCAGAAGCACGACCACTCACTGAACGCTCAGTGATCTCTTGCATCTGATTGGCATATTCCATTAGATCTAAGAATATAGACCAAACAGGTACACGAGCTCACTGAGCACTCAGTGAGCGAGCGTGCTTCTAGATGCACCTATTGTGTTTGCGTGGTAATATTGCGTAGTAAACAACAAGCTATAAGAAATTGACCAATCATAATCGATTATTTTTTTGACATTTGATTGACCAATTTCTTATGGCTTCTGCACACTAGACGCGGAAACGCTTGCCGCGTGGCAAAATGTGACGCGATAACTAATGAATATAATGGCCAATCAGAAAAAAGAATTTCACTAATTGAGCAATAAAAAAATGCTTCAAAACGTTTGCTATATCAAGTGGACTATATATCTATTAGTTTATATATCTATTAGCCTAAGTAGCCTATATATCTATTACTCCGAGCAAGCGAGATGTTGATTGGCTATCACGTCAACTTCCGCCGCGCGGCAAGCGTTAAGGTGCAATTTCATGGACGCGTCATTTGTCGCGCGCGTCACGCGTCGCTTCAGAAATAACTAGATTCTAGTGACTTCTAGCATTGTCGCGTTTGACGCGTATACAGTTGAATTTATCCAACTGCAAAAGCGTCTTGTGTTTTGTCGCATGTTTTGAAAAATCGCGGAAAATGCTAAGAAGTGAATTGCTTTATATGGGAATATAATATATATATATATACATTGATAATGGAAAACTATGAGGAAATCGACATACTCCAAGTTAGTAAAAGAAATAAATGTTTATGGTGAAAAGATAATGTTGAGAATTTTAAGGTTTATCCCATACTAAATCATAGTGAAAATACTATTTGATATGGGACTTAGAATATATGATGATTTATTAGTGAGCTTTATATAAAATACTCAATATGAATAAGCTGCATATTTTATTACTGTTATTTACATCGCTTTTAATAGCGACAGATATCTTTTGTAAGTAATTTTCAAGTTATGTTTATCAAATTTCACGCACGCGACAAATCTAGTTACTCCTAGGGTGCATTCGGGGAGACACTATTAGTGCTACTTATATCATTCTATCTTCATTGTTTATTAAACGTAAAACAATGATAGATGACACAAATAGCGCTAACAGCGCGCTCCCCGAATGCAACCCTAGAATAACGCGTGACGCGCGCGACAAATGACGCGCCCATGAAATTACATCTTTACCATGTTCTGCGCAGGAGCTATTAGGAGCTGTAAATTTATTGGCTACCGCATCACATTTTACCGCGCGGCAAGCATATTCGTGTCCAGTGTGTAGGAACCTTACACTTTATTATATCATATTACAGAAAGGTAGTAAGGGATAAATGTTCTCAATGCGCCGGCGTCTGTTCCGGTGTTCCTTATTCAAGTACCGCGTGTGGGAGGTCGGGAAGCAGCGATTGTGAAGTTTATCTCTCTCACTTGTAACAAGAAGGCCTATACAAAACACATGGCATACATTGAACGTGCACGCGAGTAACGTTAATAAATTAATACCAATTAATACACAAAACGTATAAGAACATAACCTACACATCCCAAAATTCAGCGCTACATTTCTTTGCTTACGTGAAATATGAAGTCAATTTATCACGGTTACCACAGAGTACGCAATACACACGGCATATTTATTTGCTTCACTTTTGAATTCGATTTTGTTGAATTAACTCCTTATTTCTTCTTCAATTGGCAGATCCAGGCAGATCGCGGAAGATGAAAAAACATGCTCTAAGGTTCTACAAATTCAATCACGGGGCGATGATGGACAGCAGAAACGAGGAACAGACGCATGCGCTTTACCAACATTTATCCGTTACTACCTTTCTCTCTCGCACAGATGTTGGCTTCACATTCAGTGCCCTATTCCTCTTCCATTAGTATATATTCTAAGAATGGAATCCATAGTCCGGTCTTGATCTCAAACAATGTCTTAAGATGCTAATATGGCTCTCTGATTGATTCATGCACTAGCTTAAGACCATATCGAATCTTGAGCACCGTCTATGGATTCCGCCCTATGTACATATATACACGTACATAGGCCATGTTTGTATATTACTGCCAGTTTTGACTGCCAGTACTGAAAATCTATAATTCCCATGACGTATACTATACTCATAACTGGCAGTAATATACAAACACGGTGGAGAAAAGGAGGCAAACTGGAGCGCGCCATCGAGGAGTGAGGATGTCTCAATTCCTAAATAACGACACTCTAATGTAAAGTTGGTAATGTCTTCTTTGTCAGAGATTCGCTGATTGGCTAAAGCTGTTTTACTATCACAAATAGAAAAGAGTCAGAAAGACCAATATTGTTTGCCTTCCTTTTCTCCGTCGGGCTGCGATTTTCTATAGTTTAGTATAAGGAAAGCGCGCGCTCTAGTATGTTATAGAGCTCACTGCTAAAATGGCATTAGCAATATTTTTAAATTAGCAATGGTGAGACTGTAAAAGAAAGAAATTGACCAATCACAGTCGAATGTGAGAAGAATGTTCATGTAAACTATTAGTTTATGAATCATAATTTCGTAAGTACAAATTGCGAAGCTTTTATATAAAGCAAATGTTACGATATTGATAGATATCTGTCGCTATATTAGAGTAAGAAATGGTAAAGAAAATCTCAATTTAAATAATTTTTTTTCGTTCTTGGCATAAAATCCACCTCACAGACACATATTAATGCATATATTTTAATCTTGGAAAAAAAATCCTTAAAAATTTTCAAATTATCTATAAAACAGAAAAAAGTAATTGTTATACAAAAGGCGCTTATTGCGCTTAGTCGGTAATACAGACGACTTTAGGATCCCCTTAAGTAAAAGACGTATTTTATAATTCGAAATATTTGCATTTCACTTTTACTCATATTAAATCAGTGTACAATGGCTTTAAAATGCACCATTGTGCACTTACGCATCCAACCGAATTCGCTATTAGGTAATACAGTTTATTGTCGAAAGCCTATTGCGGTTACAGAAAGTGTGCGAAACACATAAAAGCCAGAAACACATAAAAAAACAAGGTAGTAAAATGTAAGCAGTAAGCGAATCAATTAATCACAGTAGAAAATGTAAAGTAATAACCTTTTCTACTGTGAATGGCCGATTCGCTTATTGCTTATTGTCGTATACATTTTTGTATGTGCTTAAGGATCTGAGCACAAGAATTATCGTAACACTTACTTAGACTTAGGACTATGGCACAAAAAGACTTAAGGCCTTGGTACATAAAAGATTCAAAATGTAATACTTATGCGTGGTC